ACATGCGTATGAGTATAAAAACTGTTGTCAGTATGGGAAGCAGTATCGTTTGGGAATGTGAGTTGTAAATCGAAGTTTGAATTTCATTTCTCACGCCATTTTTAACAGCTCTTTTAGGGAACTAAGGGGTATTAAACTTCTTTTAAATAAATGAACATATTCAGTGGATTTCCTTTGCAGCATTTTTGGTGTTTTGAGGATTGTAATGACGTCAAACCATGACTCTGGATAAAAAAGAAGGCATGCATGTACACAAGAAAATAATGTTCGTACACCCTGCTCCCCCCTCCCTTCCTCCCATCCCCACCCAAAAAACCCACAATTACTCAGTTCTTCAATGGCATCTGAGAGAATTCGTCAATTCAGCCATATTACTTTCGAAATAGTTGATATAATCTGTAAGAAAGTTAAATTTCAAACACATTTCGCCGTGGTTTTTCACTACAATTTCCCTTTCCATACTCCCTAGGCCATTTATACGACTATATACTACGGGTCAGAGGTTATCTACCGTTGCTACGAAGGCATGGCTTCATCATCTTCGTCAATGGCCATCACTTGTCAAGCAAATGGTGAGTGGTCAAGCCCTCCGGCCAGCTGTGAAGTCGTGTCTTGTGGGGATCCCGAGCCAGTACAGAATGGTGAGGTCGACGTGCTCCTAAGACCCTCAGACAACGCCCCGTCAAACATGGACAACACGACATTTCACAGGACTCTGGGAGGACAAGCAAGGCACACTTGTCACACAGGTCGGTGCCAACATATCCTCGAAAAAACAATTTTTGTGTCCTTTTTTTCTGAGGTAGCGGTTGGGGGATGTTGATTGGTGACATAAGTAGTACATTACAACCATTTAGAAAATTGAAACTTACACTGAAACGTTCCAGGCTTCGTTGGATCAAATCCCAGCTTCACGTCAGTGTGTCAGAAGACCGGAACCTGGACCTCCACCAAGGAAGCTGGCTTCTCCTGCACGATCGTGGACTGTGGGCCTCCGCCTGACGTGCTACACGCTACTGTGTCCGCCCCGTCCACCGCCTATCTCAGCACAGCCACATACCTGTGTCACCAGGTAAACCAACAATCGTGATATATTTGGGACAGGAAGGCCTACTCTAAGTTATTTCTTTCTTCCTTTTTTTCTTTTTTGTGTGCTGGGAGAGGGATATTGGAGTTGATGTATGTGCTCGTGTGTCGTTTCTATCTCCCTCTCCCCCCTCTCTCTTTCTCTCTCTCTCTCTCTCTCTCTCTCTCTCTCTCTCTTTCTCTCTCTCTCTCTCTCTCTCTCTCTCTCTCTCTCTCTCTCTCTCTCTCTCCCTCTCTCTTTCTCTCCTTTCCCCCCCTCTCTCTTTCTCTCCTTTCCCCCCTCTCTCTCTACCTATCTATCTGTATCATTTGGAGAAAATCAAAGGCAAATTTGACAATAAACTTTGGAGATGAACAGCTTGGTTTCAAATCTGGAAGTGGCACCAGAAACGGAATCTTCTGCATGAACATAGAGGTACAGAAAAATATTAAAGTCCAAAAAGATCGCTTTGCCCGCTCTATTGATTACTCAAAACCTTTTGACAGAATCCTCTACATAAGGGGCTGGTTGGGTGTTTGGAGGAGACAGGTATTGAGGGAAAGATAACAGAATCATATAAAATTTCTACTGACAGCAAGAGGAATAAGACAATGCTGTGTCCTCTCTCCCCAACTTTTGGTGGCAGAAGTGAAATGAAACAAATATTAAGAACAGCAATCAAATAAGAAAACTACATCCAGCCAAACGCACAAACTCTTAACCCCAAGGCCATTATCTCTACCTTGAAGGAAGAAATAAGTGCAGCATTACATCTTCCCCTTTTTCCTGCATGGTTTTGAGACCTGGACTTTGACAAGAAAAAAAGAAAACAAAGTATCTGTGTTTAAGATGAGGTGTTTCCGCAGAATGGCTAGAATTAGCTAAGAGGCAAAATAGACTAACAATGAGGTGTGCCAGTTTCTCCGCACAAGACAAACCCTGCTTAACAAAATGAAAAGTAGAAAAATACAGTACTTTGGTAATAAAAAATTCCACCAGAACATTATGAAGACAAGACGTTGGGCATAATGGCTAAGGATGGACAAAGTGCAATGTCGACCAATAACATGAAGGCGTGGACTGGCAAAAGCATGACCGAGTCTGTGACGGCAGCTAGCGACCGTAAGCAATGAATGATTGGTCAATCTGGAGCTAGATATGACATCTGTAGGTATCCAGGTAAGGCCAAAAAGCTTTTGTGTTGAAGACAGTTGTAAACCTTAGTCTATGGGACTGCATTGCTATCTATCTATCTATCTATCTATCTATCTATCTATCTATCTATCTATCTATCTATGATCACAGGGTTATAAAAGCACCAATACTTCAGCTGCGACCAGGACGTGCAGTGAAGACGGGTTGTGGAGCGACGGCAATGTTACCTGCTCACCAGTTTTCTGTGGTGACCCGCCTTTCTCACCCAACACAGCCATGAACTACACAGCCACCTCCTTTGGATCGATTGTAAGACCTAAATAGAAAACAAAACTTAAAAGTAGTTGCATTTCTTAAAAGTCTGAGTTTGATATTTATTCTGCTATATGCGCTCGTATAACCCTTCGCTTATCACGAACAGTTCTCTCTCTCTCTCTCTCTCTCTCTCTCTCTCTCTCTCTCTCTCTCTCTCTCGTATATCACAGTGACTTCCTTATTGTGAATGAAACGTGATTTCGAAATCCCTGTTTTAGGAGACAGCTACAAAAAGAGTATACAACTCTACTGTGCTAGTGTCTTGAACTTAACTTTATGAGAATAAATATCATGCATAGAACTTGATGGGGAATGTATCGTCATATATAGGCCTACCTGTGTGTCTCTTTACTGAATGTATCCGCGCTACACTATGTCTCTTAACAGGTTACGTACTCATGCACACAATCAGCTGTTGCCTGGAACAGATCTGTTAACTCGTCACGCGTCTGTTTGTCCACTGGACAGTGGTCATCGATGGAACTAGAATGTATTCTTGTCCCATGCGGACCTTTTCCAGAGAGCCCTAATGCTACAAGCTCTCTCATTGGACGGGAGCCAGACTACAAAGCTCTTTACACATGCGAACAGGGATTTGTCATGAATGGTATGTTTAATGTGCACTCTAACTCATTCACAACGAATATTATATTTAACGTCTGCTTTAACTTATTTTCTACCAATGGCACATTGATCAATGCTATGTATACCATGTACTCTAATTAAATTATAATCGAAAGATACATTTAGCATTTACGGAGTCTGTCCCAGAGGTAGATTTCCCTGTACTATAAAATCAACCATTTTTATTTTAAAAACATAAAAATGTTGAACATGTTTTCCATTCAACATAAGAAAGGTCGATCTCAGTACACTCTTTTATCCGACATCGCAAGTCACCCAACTTGGTGACCAAGTCCGCTTCGACCAGAGGCCTTAGAGCATTTTCATGGCACGTCTTCTTTGTCTTCAAATCGCCCCCACCTCTTAGTTGTTCTTTGATTTGGAGGACGAAATAAAAGTTGCATGGTGCTAAGTCTTGGGCATAGCGGGGATGTTCAAGAATTTCCCTCTGCCACGAGTCCAGGAGATTGGTGATATTTGAGCAGTGTGCACAGACATGTTGTAATGTTGGAAGGCAACACCTTGCTCAAAAAGACCCAGCCGGTCTACTGATTGCTGGTCCCAGTTTTGTTCTAAGAACCATCATGTAATAGTAAGCATAAGCTGTTGTGCCAATGGGAACCACCCAGTTTAAAACCACACATTTGTGATCGAAAAACATGATGTGCATCATTCTCAAAGACTTTGCTAGCGTCGAGCTTTCTGTGGGTCGTGGTGATCCTGTGTTTCTTCATTGTCCTGATTGTCTTTTAAATTCTGGGTCACATGAATACAACCATGTTTCACCATTTGTTATGATTCATCTTTATAAAGTTGTTCCTTTGATCCATGCGACTTCCGTTTCTACTCCAAAATCAAAGAAGGACAAAGGGAGACAGTGAAGTAAGGACGAGGAAGAAATTGTGCTCGAAACAAATTAAATTCTGCTCTAAGGACTGTGGCCAAAGCTTTCATGTTTAATGTGTTTGATCGCAGGTTACATTGGATGAAACAGTGCATTGAGATAAAAGGTTATTATGTTGAAAAGAAAACATACTTCTGCAGATATGTACATAATTTTATGTCTGTAAAATAAAATAGAAAAATAGTTGATTTTACGGAACAAGGAAACTAACCTCTTGGACAGACTTCGTATTGTAATTGAATTACGGTCAAATGTATGTTTATAATGTACTCTGACTCATTTATTAGTGGTATGTATAAGATGTTTTTAATCTGTGGTATAAAGGTTACGTTCTTCGCCGATTCACACAGAGATGTGAGCTTTTTCCACAAATAGTGTCGATGAGGGCGTTTAAAAAGTTGCTATTAGAATTAGAATTAAAAATACTAATGACTGATTTTCTTTGGAAATCATAAAAAGCAACATCATGTAAGTGTACTCACAGTTAGTCAGCTTTTTGCCTGCAAACGGATCATCATCATCATCATCATCATCATCATCATCATCATCATCATCATCATCATCATCATCATCATCATCATCATCATCATCATCAGCATCATCATCATCATTATCATCACGTGTTTTGTCTGAAGCAGACATTCGCGGTCATGGCTCTCCACCCTTTCTCTCATTGGATGCTCTTTTGAATGAGATGCTGTTCATTGTGCTGTTGGTCGCCCAGCTGTTCAGACCATTCATAATGTTTGTGCTTTGTCTTCCATGGCTTTTCTTCTCTTCAATTTTTTCCAGTCATGCTTATAAAGGGTTCACAAGAGGATATTTTGTCTTCTTTACTTTGCGCACTGGCTAATACAGGGTAATAAAAAAACTGTACCTATACAACTTTGTTTGTAAATAGTTTCTTCTACACTGAAGTTTTGCGTTTCAAATTTGCAAACAACATTTGGAAATCAAAAGGAATTTGTCTGATATTCATCTTAAATAATTCCACAGAATAGTTTTGCTCTACGTAACACGTAAAAAACAAGTCATTTCCTTTTTCGAAAATAAATTTCTTCTTTATGAATTTTATGCCAAACAAATTCCTTTTGAATGAATTATATACCTGTTCCAATTACAACATTCTAGTACCAATTTTGTACCAGATATTCAGAAAAAAGTCATACTGTATTTTTTGGAGCACTCTGTATTTGAATGAATCGTTTCTTTCCACACTTTCAAAAGGTTCAGGAGTTGCTTTTTGCAATGACGCACGTGAATGGAACTTGAGCTCTGTCGCATGTGATGAAGTAATGTGTCAACATCCTCCTGATATCTTTGGCGCAAATGTTTCCTTCAGTGGCGTGACTGTTGGGTCCACAGCGAGCTACTCCTGTTTAGAAGGTCATCGCCTGAATTCCTCTTCCAATACAATTGACTGCAAGGCAGATGGGTCTTGGTCGGACAGTAGCGATGTCAAATGCACAATGGTCACGTGTGATGTTCCCCCGACAGTCGACGGCGCTGTTGCGAGCATTGTGACCCCTGGAACGTTGTTCGGAAATGACGTCAGCTACAGCTGTGAGCCTGGACGAACACTCACGACTCCTTCCAACTCCAAACTTTGTACAGAGGATGGTTGGGACGATACACCAGTCGTTTGTGACACCGCCAATAACTCGATCAACTGTGGGGATGCGCCTGTGGTCGAGTACTCTGTGCGTACAATTACGTTAAACAATGGACAGCACACTGTGAGCTATCAATGCAACACTGGCTTCAGACTGGAGAGTCCTGAAGCTACAACAAAAACATGCTCCAGTGAAGGATGGAGTACAGAGCCTGTGAAATGTGTACCGGTAAGATGTGGGGCCGCTCTCGAAGTCTCAAATGCCGACGCCAGCGTCATTAATGGTATTGTTGGACTTGAGGCAATCTACGAATGTCATCCAGGTTTCAAGATGAAAACAACGTCCCAAACTAAGTAAGAAACATGGTCTCATATTGTTTTTCTTCTCTATGAATACAACCTATGCTGCCAATCATATCTTTACTCTCGCCATCATGACATTTGCCACCGATATTATCGAGGTGAGTTTTTGCTGAGACCTTTGATATGTCATCACTCTTATGATAAACACCAACAACACCCACACACCATGATGATACTTGAGCTCATAAGTATTTACATCTATTAAGATAAACACAAATTATCTACTATAAACTTGTAAACAATTCCACCCCCCTCCTCACAACGTTCTAAAAAAAAACTCACCGCAAAGACATCTCCTTATATACCCCTGTAAACTAGTAAAAAATTAAATGCGCAGAGTAGTGGTTTTAGAGAATACAGGCAAGTACATCTACACAGAGAGGTTAATATTTGTACAGCTCCAAACATTAGAATGAGTGACCAATGTGTTTACACAAGCGCTTTCTTTTTCAGACATTGTTTAGAAAATGGGACATGGTCGGATGACAATATTGTATGTGGACTTATCGACTGCAACGCGCCCCCTGAAGAAGAAAATACAGTCATTGTCTACACGGACACAACGCTGAATTCTAAAGCCAACTACACTTGCAAACCAGGTTTCATCTCTTTGTCAAACTTGACATACATATCTAGAACTTGCAGCCAGGACGGAGAATGGAAGACCCAGGATGACGGCGTACTTAACTGCACGGTCGTTGATTGTGGCCACCCACCGCACATTCCGAGGAGCACCAAAAGCTTTGAAGACACTATGTTTTCTAGTACAGTGACGTATACATGTGACCAACCTTACGTTATGTACGACAACGGGTCAGCAAAGTGTAGCGAAACCGGAAACTGGCAAGGTGTTGACACGATAAGGTGTTTGGCGACTGAGTGTCTCCATCCTCCCCGAGTGCCTAAAGGCGCTTTAATTACTACTGGTTACAACTCAGGTGGGTATTTTGCAGGATACGCCTGTGAAAATGGAAAGGTTGGGAGTGCAGTATTCCTGACATGTTCCGACAACGGGGCATGGTCACCGGTTGATATGGTTTGCGACGACGATGTCTGTGAAAACCCCCCGCCAGTGGCCAACACATCAATAAGATGGACGTCTGTTACAGTAGGGTCCACAGCGACCTATGAATGTAATCCAGGCTTCGTATCGAAGAGAACATCGCAGACTCGAACTTGCCTACCAAGCAAAAAGTGGTCAAAGGAAAGGATTTACTGTCGTTGGACTAGCTGTGCTGATGTTCCAGCGCTTGAAAACGCACAGCTTGTTAATCATTCTGTCGCTGAAAACAGTGACAAGGCCAACCCAAATACACGTGCAGTTGCTGAGTATAAGTGTTTTGAAGGTCACGTCGTACCAGGAACGACAAACATTGTCCACACTTCATCCTGCTCTGTTGACGAAGGAGGCTGGAATATGAACATCATTGGCTGTCTACCCATAGACTGCGGAGAGCCTCCGTTTGTGGAGCATGCTGTGGTCGATGTAAGTGTAAGATTAGAGTTTTTAAAAAGGCATTGTGTTTTCTTTAGTTTGATTAATGGTTGTGGCCGAAGATTGATCTCAGAAGTGTGATATCGTTGCTGATCTGATTAAGAAACAGATTTTGATAGAAGTTTCAAATACGCTGGAACTGACCTTTTCTTTTAGTATGGTCAAAAGCTGTGTGGTATGACATGGGTTTAAACGCATAAAATGTGTAAAAAGGCAAGACATTCAATGTAATGTCCATTTCCAAATTGCATTAATTGAGTCCCGATATTTTTGCTTTTAGATGACAATTCCCCCCTTCCCCTCCTCCTTTTTGCACTATAACCTTACAGAATCGAAGATAAATTTACTCGAGTCACAAGTGGTTTGCAGTGATTTGCACGATGGTTGGGGAACGCCACAGTCAGATATCAGATTTTTTCCTATACAATGTGTTCGTTATTTCTGACTATTGTGTTGTTTTTTCTAATCAAGACATGCCATTATAGATGTTGTCTCGTACCTGTTTCTTTGTGCGTAATGTTCCTTCAATAAAAAAAAAAATACAATACCATTGTGTTTCTATTGTAAAGGTGTGGTCTTTGCCCAGACGCAGAAAGCCGATTCCCGCGGACGGAAGATTGTCGCATGACTATATCTCCATCTATCTAGATCTAGCTCTCACGGAAAAAATAAAGGCAAACGGGATAGAAGTTAGTTTTCATAGCCATACCTTTTGTAATACAGTTGTTGGAAATTTTGGGTTAATTTAAGGGCTTTTGTAAATTGCCTTGTTTCTATCAAATATTTCACAAAATCTAACTATATTCTAACATTTCCGAAATCTCCAACGTGCAGATAACAGGTACAACGTACGAGTCAACAGCTTCTTATTCTTGTGAGTCCCCTCTGTTTGCCATCGGATTCCTGAACTCTTCAACCTGCTCTTCATCCGGAAACTGGACAGTGGTAAATGTAACCTGTGAGTCGTGCGACCCACAACAACCAATCAGAAACGGATCGCTCTTACTTCTGAGAAGTGGAAGAGATCTATTTGCAAGAAAGGCTACATACTCATGTGATACAGACTTCACAGCTCTCTATCCTAATACGATTTTCAGTTGTGAGCTCAAGGCTGGCCTTGCATTGCCTACATGGGACATGCCCGATGGAGTTTTATGTGGTCAGACTCGGTGGGTCTACACAGAGCCAGTAAGTTGGTTATGTTTTTAATAATAATAATAATAATAATAATAATAATAATAATAATAATAATAATAATAATAATAATAATAATAATAATAATAATGATAAATTACATTTACATAGCGCATTTCCACAAATAAGTGTTCAATGCGCTGTACAATAATATAAAGAACATATGCAGCGCACAGCTCATAATATTAATCCTCTTTCTCTCTCTCTCTCTCTCTCTCTCTCTCTCTCTCTCTCTCTCTCTCTCTCTCTCTCTCTCTCTCTCTCTCTCTCTCTCTCTCTCTCTCTCTCTCTCTCTCTCTTTCTTTCCTTCTTTCTTTCTCTCTCTCTCTCTCTCTCTCTCTCTCTCTCTCTCTCTCTCTCTCTCTCTCTCTCCCCAGTACATCCTTGAGTAAAGACAACCCCACAAAGCTTACCCAGACACCCTCGCACACATTGATGAATTCACACAGTCATAAATTCTTACAGTACAGAACAACATGAATAAACGATACTGAGAGAACATAATAGATACTGAGAGAACATAATAATATTTGTAATGGGAATGTCAGAAATTACAGATTGAAGCTGGACTGAAGCAAATGCGTTTTAAGTGCTGATTTAAATTTTGATAAAGTGGTGGACTCTCGTAGATGAGCTGGTAAAGCTTTCCACAGGGAGGGGGCGTGGAGTGAAAAAGCTCTCCCTCCGAGTGTCTGACTTTTACTTTGGACAGGTCTTTAAAGTCTTTTCGTCGTCGATTTTAAAGGCCGAGATGGTATATATTCGATGACCATGTCACAAAGATATGTCAAAAAGACCATGTCACAAAGGTATGATGGTGCAATGTTGTAGACACACTTAAAACAAAGAATAATTATTTTGTACTGAGTTAGTGCTTTCACCGGGAGCCAATGTAGTTGAATTAGCATTGGTGTTATGTGCTCTTTTTGCGAGCAGCTTGGTTCTGGGGTCGCTGTAATATATTTAAAGTTTCAGTGGGAAGGCCTCCATACAAAGAATTACAGTAGACAAGACGTGAAAGGACAAAAGAAGAGATGAGGGTTTTGATGGAATCAACTCTAAAATATGTCGACATTTGTCCTATTCTGTGTAGTTCTAAATAAATTACCTTACATAGATGGTTTATATGATGGTGAATAGAGAGTTTGCAGTCAAAATAAACGCCTAGATTTTTCGCTTTATCTGTGAAAAAGATGTTATCATTCCCAATACATATATGGTCAAAATTGCAAAGCAATATCCCTGGTTTGGCATTGCAAAACAGAACTTCGGTCTTATCATCATTCATTTTGATATCATCCATTTTTTTACCTTCACAATATATTTTTCCATGCTGGTAACTATACAATTGAAATGTGTTGGTAAAACAGACTTGTACAGCTGAGTGTCGTCCGCGAACATGTGGTAGTTAACGATGTGCTTCCTAATTATTTAATCTAAGAGTTTTGTATGTGTGCATAAGAGTGGTCCGAGCACGGACCCTTGGGGCACGCCAAATTGCAAGCTGAAAATGGATGACATTTCACCATTTACAAGTACAGACTGTGTACGATTAAACAAACAGAACTAAAAACCATTCAAGAACAGTCCCAGATTCGCCAAAGCTATGGTCTAACCTCCTGATCAAAATTGAATGATCGATGGTATCAAATGCAGCACTTAGATCGAGTAAGGCAAGAACAGACACTTTGCTTTTGTCTGCTCCACAAAGGAGGTCATTCTGGACTTTTTAAAATGCAGTCTCTGTGTTATGAAATGCTCTGTAGGCCGACTGATAACATTCTAAAAGATCATTTTCTTAAAGATGCGCTCTTAATTGAATTTGAACAACTTTTTGTAAGATTTTAGACACAAAAGGTAGGTTAGAGACCGGCATATAGTTCTTAAACTCATGCGGAGATAACGACTGCTTCTTTAGTAGAGATGTTACGACTGCGTGCTTAAAACACGAAGGCATTGTTCCTGAAAGGAGTGAATCATTAATAATAGCTGTTACAACAGCAATAACAACGTCAAGATGGTTGACTAATAAAAGTGTCAGGATAGAGTCAAGGCAGAAGGACTTCGGCGGTGATTACATTACGATCTCTTTCACTGTGTCCTGTGAAACAGGTTTAAAATTACATAGGAGGTCCTCGTGGAACTCCTCGGATTCAGATGCAGATGAACTGTGCTTATCTAACGTGTCTTTTATTGTAGCATTTTTTTCCCCGCAAAGAATGTTCCAAAGTTATTTGCTAACTCTCCTGTGGGAGAAGCACAAGGAATAGAAGCAGATTTAGATTTTCCACAAAGTGAATGAACAAGGTGAAAGAGACTTTTATATGTTTTTGACTTTGATATAATGTTATTGTAAAAGGAACGTTTCGCTACGACTATGAGTTCTTTGACTTTCCTGTGAAGTTGTCTATAGATGTCCCTGTGCACGGTGCGTCCTTGTGCCTGCCATCTCCTCTCTGCTTGTCGTCGCTCCGCTTTGCCTGCTTTTGACGCTCCCTTACTTATTTTTATTATACTGTCTTCGACATGCGGGAACAATTCGCTAAATCGAATTAAACGAATACATGTAAATAAACTAAGTGATTAATCAATTAATAAAAGAAGACTTCTTCTGGTAAGGTACTGTGTCCTTAAAAAGTAAGCTACTTATATGTTTCTCAATACTCAACTCATGAAGCTACAAATGAGTACTTGGCGATTGGTAGAAGCACAATTTGTTCAAGACATTATGATAGTGGTATGCCTCTCACACCGAACATGATACAAGGCGTATACTCTGGCTTGGTTGAGGGAGGAGGGAGGGGGTAAACATTTTAATGATAACATTGAATGAAAGAGCCTGCCAATACAATAATTGGAAAGTAATGTGATCCTTCAGGGGGCCACACCATTGTAAATAACCACGAAAATGCCTCATTCATCCCTTACGCATTTACCTCCTTTCACCAACTGTTTATGTTAAACGATTCACTTGTTCATGCCAGTTTAAAACACCCATTTCTAAGAAATTGCTCATACAAAGTTTTTTCCTGTTACATTCTCTTTGACGGCTCAGTCCTCTTGAGACAATATCCTTAATATCTGTCAGTAGCACCTTGTTCTTGGGCATTACGATTCATTATAGGAATCACAGCACAGTACTTTTAATCTTTTTGGAACGGAAAATGGGAAACATTAACTCATGAGACATGACTTTTTAAGCAGACGTCGCTACCTCTTGTGATGATCTCACTTCATATTGACACCATAATGGCAACACACTTAACCAACCATTCTCTCTCACAACTTCCTATAATAAATTTTGTAAGCAGAAATCTTATTTGCAACAGGCTCAAAGGATCCGTATCTTAAAATCCTTGGGAATTGGCAAGAGAGAGAGAGAGAGAGAGAGAGAGAGAGAGAGAGAGAGAGAGAGAGAGATAGAGAGAGAGAAGGAGAGAAGTGGGAGGGGGGAGGAGAGACAGATAGACAGACAGACAGACAGACAGACAGATTCACAGACAGACTAACAAACAGACTGACAAACAGACTGAAAGACAGACTGAAAGACAGACTGAATGACAGACTGAAAGACAAACTGGGGGCTCTAGTTTATCTTGACAGGAGTGGCCTATGCGAAGGCTATTCGGGACAGGGAAAAGACAGAAAGGTACTTCCTCATAATATTATAACATGACACGATTCTTCTTTGGCTAGTGCTTTCAATACTTGTTGGTGATGAAAATGTATTTTCTTTTTTATATTCTCCACCCCCCATCCACCACCCCTCCTTCCCAGATAGTGCACGGGACGACGCTTTACCCGGTGTACCGAGAACTGTTCGTCAACAAGGTGGTAGGGTGTGTAAAAGGAACGTTTCGTATGTCGGACCGAAGGTGCTTATAAGTCATGATCATGAACTCGTTCATATGTAACCCGCTTTTCTATTGCTGATGTTCTCCCTGCCCTTGTTGTCACAATGTAGGGGTTTTCAAAAAATGTGTTTTTCTTTAAGTGAAAAGAAACACCTCCACATAACAATGATCATTTGGTTCTGGGGAAAATTAAGACAGACACCGAAGTAGTAGGACATACCAGTGGCGCCCTCCAACCTCCCCGCTCGATACAATGTAGGAGGGCGGTGCTCTTAGTCCCCTCTACCGCCTTATGAAAAAAAATTTATATATAATGTGTGTGTGTCACGACGTAGTGGAATCAGGCGCTCATCAATTTTCAGGCATGTGGAGCTATTGATATTATCTTAAAGGTAATTCATTTGCCCCCTGCTTTCGAAGAGATAAACGTCCATTTATCTGGAATGAAAGTCGCGATTTTTGCGATTGAAGGAGGTGGGGTCACTTGGTTTTAGAATAAAAATTAGAGAGAAAATGTCGCCAAAGTTTGGTGACTTACATAGCTTAAGAGTCTTTGGAAACTGCAAATTAAAAATTTTTTAACCCTTAATCAACGTTTTTCAATAAAATCCACAGATAAAAGTGTTTTTGAAAGGACATACAAGATGTTGAGTCATAAAACAAAAATTCGAAAAAATGTCCAAACTGGCCGAAAAATGCCGATTTCTCGATTTTTTAAATTTTGACGAGCGCCTGATTTCACCAAGATGCCTCACATATGGGTAATTGAGTCAAGTAGCGTTTTTATTACAGGGGAGAGAGCCCTTTTCATGGCGCGTCTTTCTATCTTGGTTTTATGGCTGTACAATTAAAGTTTAGGAAATTTTGGACTTTTGAAAATATGCGTTGTGGCCTAATTACATATCGATATTGTTATGAAAAGAGAAATTGTAATCATTTACCCCATAACTATTTACTGTATACCTCAGCAAATCAGACAAGGGTTAGGCTGGCCAATGGATATTGACATAGACAAATCAGATCGAATAAATTTCAGTTATTTTGAAACACACAAAAAGTTAATTTTTTGCCTTTCTTGCAAAGTTTCATTTTCAGCATATACTTTTTTCTGTCATAAGACGGCTGCCTGCCTGTACGACGGGCGGAGGGGAGGAAATAATTATTTTAAGAGAAACCAGTAGAAGGCCTCTTTGCACTCGCAATGTATGGTAAAACAGCTTAGAAACGATTACCGCAGAAACAACAACAACAACAACAACAACAACAACACGACCATCACCACATCACCACTACTACTACTACCAACAAGAACAAAAAAAAAACGACAACAAAAAACAACAACATCAACAACAATGAGAACAAAGACAACAACAACAGCAACAACAGCAACAACAGCAGTAACAGTAACAACAACAACAACTACAGCAACAAAAACAACAACGACAACAGCGACAACAACAACAGCAACAGCAACAAAAACAGCATAACAACGACAACAACGACAACAAAAAAACACGCACTAAACAACGCGCAACTGCTTCCTCAAAGTTGTAAAGTTCTTCGTCATCTGGAATTATTTCAGGATGATCGTGAAATTCTATGGCGTAACAACAGACGGGCTGATTTTCATTCCAGGCAGGGCCAGACAATCTAATTCTGGCGAGAAACTCACATTTTCAACAAGACAACCTGGGGAAGAGGAATTATCATTCTCACAAGAAATGGATTTTCCTTTCGATGATATAAATAACTTGGTAGACCTATGTATTCACATACATAAACATGACCAAACATTTTCGGTGAGTACTCTTTTCCAACAATTTTGTTTTAAAATGGGGATATTCCTGATGACATCACTCTATCTTCCTACAAACGGTGTTTCAACAGTGATACGAGGGTGGATTAAAAAATTAAAGTGTTGGAAGTTGTGAAATGTCACCAAAAAACAACAACAACCCAACAACTTTTACAGCTATTGGCTTGGAATGTTCAGTCTCTGGAAGCTTTTACTCTCCTCGATTTTATATCCAGGATTTTAGCCTCACGGTGTCTTCTGGAAAGCACAACGATAGTCCCCTATCCATCAAACCAGAAACTAACCAACCAAAAAGTCGCCCATCATTTGGGAACAGTAGATGAAGTAGAGCACCGTTTTGTTTCCTCAGCAATTAGTGAGAATTCCTCTTGTATGTATATGTGTCCACTAAAACTACAAGTCCTCTTCCTGAAAAAAGATGGGTCGGTTGGAATGCCGCTTAGTCTCGTCGCGTGGTGACTTATCAGCCACACTGCCGTAAGCTGCGCTGTCAGCGTAATGATTTGAAAATAGAGTCACTCCGAAATTCGAATTTTGATATATTTAAAAAATAGTCACAGTTTCATTTTGATTTGTTTTCCTCAAACAAATTGGGTAACTGATCAGTCTTTCAATTTAGCAAAGCAAAAAAAAAAAAAAAAAAAAAAATGGCGCCAAAATGAAAAAAGGCGTGTTGTCTGCTTACGACAGCATAGGCCTAAATCTAGTCAGGGATAAAAAAGAAGTTTTTATTATAAGTTCCTATGAAAAATCTAATGTTATTTTTGTAATGAGTTCCTCAAAATCAAGAGAGTCTACGCGTAAACCTCTTGTTTAAAAACACATTAACAATTATACTTTTTCAAAAACAATCCATGGATTGATAGTCCCTTCTTGGGTTCCTAAACCTTTGTCTTGTTCGGGAATACCGGATACGAACAGATAAAAAATAGGACCGTTCTGCTTTGGTGGACACCCTACCTTAATCAGCTTCCAGTCTACTTTCAGCGTTGAATTGGCAATAGCTCTTGAGTGCGCTCAGTCTTTCGGCATGCATATCTTTCAGTGTGTGTATATATTTATAGATATATATGCATGTATATATTGTAGAGCGAAGGAAATAACACCAACATAACTTTCTACATCGTAAGACAAAGCTGTAATGAAGGAATAGAATGAAAAAGACAACACACTTACAACAGTGAGCGATGACTCACTCCCCGGTGATACCAACTTAGCAGTTAGCCCGATGTCGTTGTGTGTGTAGATACTATTTGTACGTATGTGTGTGTGTGTGTGTGTGTGTGTGTGTGTGTGCGTGTGTGTGTGCGTGTGTGTGTGTGTGTGTGTGTGTGTGTGTGTGTGTGTGTATGTGTGTGTGCGTAAGCCTGTATGTATGCTGTCGCTACAATATGTAATATACATGTATTTAAATTATATATATATATATATATATAAATATATATATATGCATAAATATAAATATATATATGTATATATATATATATATATATATCTATATATATATATATATATATATATATATATATATATATATATATATAATGTATATGTGTGTATTAAGTGCGCGCACCGCTGTGGCTTTAATCTTTAATGTTTCTCCAGGTGGTGTGAAACATTTCTTTATTATTTTTATTTTTTGCGCGCGCGATAAAGTAAAACTTACGCCAGCTATTTTTGTGATATTGATTTGATAATTGTTTTGTGGGGCTCCGGATATTTTAATTTTTGAGAGGAGAATATAGACTCTTCTCGCGCGCCCACCAATATTATAGCGCCCCCCCTCTTTTACAACCCCCCCCACCCCCGCATATAAGGGAAAATACAAGATTGTTTTATATTGTTTTTGTTTTGTTTTGTTTTGCAATATTTTTTCTCTCTGATGGCATTACAATCTATAAATTTAAAATACATTAAGCAGTCCTGGTATATGTTGCTCCAGGTCATTTCAATAAATAGATAACGGCTGCCCAATCACTCTTAATATTTTAATGTTGTTTTCATTTCGTTCTTTATATAAAAAATATGAGCTCATTCACAACAATTTTTCAAAATATTTGAAAACTTGCACCTTTGAATAAAACCACTTTTCCAAACGACGACTGCTTGATTTCAAGAACTTGTAAAGTTAACACAATATACATGTACATGAACATGCTATACATGTACATGAACATGCATACGCTTTCTAAATCAACTCTAACCTAAGCGGACGTTCATACTATTCCAGCACAATCGATAACTGTATGCGCAGCATATTATGAAAAGAGAAGTACTTTGAATGAGAAGGACTAGCTATAAAGATGGCATTTTATGAGGTATGTTTAAAAATGAATCTTAATTTTTACTGCCGACGGCGCATCTTTCAACTGTTCTGTGAGAGGGTTCCACATAGATTGAGCTAGATGAGGAAAAGACTTCCCAGCGGGTTTCTTTTTATCCTTCTTTCCTTTATACCTGTATATGAGTGTGTATGTATAGACATACAATTATATGACCAACAACCTCAACAACAACAACAACAACAACAACAACAACAACAACAAAAAACAACTACAACAACAACAACAACAACAACAACAACAACAACAACAACAACAACAACAACAACAACAAAATAGCATCAGCAGCAGTATTCTAACTTCTTTTCACCCTGTTTCTACAACAAGATTCCTATTCTTTTTTCAGACCACAATATCTGGCACGACGCAGAAGACCCTTAAAATCCCCGAAAGCATTCCCATTGGAAACACCAGCGTTTTTGTAGTCAAGCCCAATTCACTGGCTTTATCTGAAGTTGACATTACTTACGAGTAAATGTTGTGAAATTTTGTTGTTGGTTGTCTTGCTTCAACTCAACGCCCTGTTGGAACAGAAATAAGTTCTTTCGAAGGTGAACTCACAGGGCCTAGGGGAATCAATCACCAGCTTGGTCCTCGGTGTCTCTGTAATATTATTATGCTTATTGGACACTGGTTCCAAAATCATTATGTAAAAGTTGACAGCGTCATTGCCTTTTTTCTGGTAAGTGTTTTACGGCATTCGCAACTGCAAAAGGTCATATGAGCGCGCGGGACACATTACGCAATTTCAGTTTGGTAGGAATTAATGTTGAATTTTGCCCGGGTGGCGACCGAAGCCTAATCTTTTCGATTTTAGGACCACCAAGGGAACTTTTACGTGCGCAACTTGCACACGGGACCTCTGAGATATTTCACCCTTATCTGAGAAGGCTAGGTGTTAGATCTTACCTACCCAAAGATCAGGGGGTGTGGCTTAAAGACAGCAATAAGAAAGAGCCAAGGAGTAAGAATAGAAAGGCAGCAGAAAGAGCCAGGAGCCCCGAGAAGGGGGGCAAAGGGGGTTGGGGCAGAAAGTGGAGACGAAAGCAGATTACAGACGACTACGGAAATGTGAAAGGAGAAACTTTTAGCGCTGAAAATATTCCGTCGCTCCCAGGTTTTGAACATGGGACCTATTGAATAAGAGGTGAACACCGTACCTCTTGATCACGAAAGCCCCCTCGTCGATGTCAAAAGTACAATTTATAAAATCAAGAGTGACGCTCCGTCGGTAAAAGAAATAACGATTCACGCCCAAGAGCAGGAGTCACAGAACAACTACCTGCGAAGTCAGTTCATCTGGCCTGCCGTCATGCTACCATGCGTTAAAAAAAAAACTAACTTGAAAGTAAATTTATGCAAATGAAACGTGCTTTTCTGGACTCTGTAAATTTTTTTACTAATTTATTATAACACTCTTGGTTACGAGACTTTAATGTGAAAAATATTTCATCTAATTTACTCTTACACAATTCCTATCATAAAGCGGGACATCCGCCTCCTTCCCCCTCTCCCCTCCCCCTCCTCCTCCATCCCCCCTCACAATACCCCATTCTTTACCAGCCGCCCTCATACAGTGATTCCCCAAAAATATTACGTTTGTTGTCTTATTTCTCTCTCTCTCTCTCTCTCTCTCTCTCTCTCTCTCTCTCTCTCTCTC